AAACAAAAAAACCACAGGAACAACAATGGGGAAAAAAAATAAACCCAGAGGGGAACGGGAAGGAAGAAAGGGGCATCTGGCATCCTCTCCCAAGGCCTGGGCAAAGAGCGCAGTCGTTAAAGCCCATCAAAATGCCAACAGGCTGGGGGCCGTTCAGGTCTTCCAGGGGAGCCTCCTTCCAGAGGGCAGATGCTGCGACAGAGAAGGGGCACTTCCTGGGTCCCAATAGTTGGCATTGTTTAATCGATGAAACCCGGAGTGTGCCAACCTTGCCAGACTGAGCAGGCCTGGTGCACCAGTGTGCCAGCAACACCCTACGATGCATGGGGCCCCAAGCCCCACTTGATTTCATGTCATTTATTTATTTGTGCAATTTACCTACTCTTGATCCTCAGACTCTACAGTGATGCCAGATTCCTGGAACTAAAAAAAAAAAAGAGGAAAGCCATTACGCTGCTGCTGCTTTCAGGGTTGCTTTTATTTCTGGCCTGAGACAATCTTAGGGGGGGGGGGAAGGCTGTAACTTGTTTGGAGGAGTGTCTCATGGCCCCCTCCCCCATCAAGGGGCCAAATTTTTGCATTGTATTGCATTTTAGAATTACTCGTGTGAATAACCAGCTGCTGGGAATCTTTTAAATGCTATCAGTAAATCTGATCAACAATGTCTGAATAAGCTAAGAGCGACAGAGGATTGTTTCCATAACACGTTTTAATTGCACCAAATACAATGGTGGAGTGACAGGCAGCTGTGCTTACAGCTCAGGCTGAGCTGTTTGGTGGCAGCACATGACAAGCCAAACGCCGCCTCTGCCTCCTCCGTTTTCCCAGCTCATCGCGGACTCTGCAGGACAGGGAGGCCGATGTGTGCCTCTCACAAAGCCTGCCCAAGCTTAGGGAGTTACACAAACGTTTCAAAAGTAACTTTATAAAGGACTCACAAAGCGAGCAGAGTCATAAGCAGGAAGTGTAGTCAGCACGTTCCACTTTCCTTTCTCTTCTCTCTGGGGCCTTGTAACAAACCAGGAAGGGCCACAGCATGAAATCACGGAGGGAGCAGTCTATACACTCCTGGCCGAGAGTTGCTCTTTAGGGAGGCGGCTGACTAGGCGGCTGAGGGCTGGAAGAGGCTCCTCATCAGCTGGGAGTGACCCAGAAGGGCCTCCCTGACCTGCTGGCTGCTGCTTGTCCAAATCTGCCACTGCTGGCAAAGTTGGTGGAGCAGCTCTGCCCCTGGGACTGCTCTTGGCTTCTGGGCACAGAGGGGCAATCCCCCTGCTAGGCTGCCAAAGAGGCGAAGGCAATGCCATGGGAGCATGGCAGAAGAAAGGGTGCCAGGCCAGGTTTTCGCCATGATTGGGTGAAAGTGGGGAGAAGCTCCTGGAGCAAAACCTCAGTCCAGCCTGCAGGAGCACCTTCTGCTTCACTGCCAGGGCTTCCAGGCACAGCTTGATGTCCTTCCAGCCATGGGGCTGCCTGGGAAGCTGAAGGAGGGAGGTGGCATCACCCTAAAACTGCCCTGAGTGAACTGCTGATATTGATAGTAGACATCAGAAGGAACCCAGAGTGGAAATGGTGCCTCTTTCATTGAGTTGAATGAATAAAATCAATGGGAAAGAAACGCCAAACAGAACAACAGAGTTGGAAGGGACCTTGAAGGTCTTCTAGTCCAACCCCTTGTTCAATCAGGAGACTCCACACCATTTTCAACAAATGATTGTCCAGTCCCCCCTTAAAAGCCTCCAGTGTTGGAGCATCCACAATTTCTGAAGGCAAGCTGTTCCACCGGTTGATGTTCTCACTGTTAGGAAGTTTCTCCTTAATTCCAGGTTGCTTCTCTCCTTGATTAGTTTTCATCCATTGTTTCTTGTCTTGCCCTCTGGTGCTTTTGAAAATAAGTTGACCCCCCGTTCTTTGTGGCAGCCCCTCAAATATTGGAACACTGTTATCATGTCACCCTTAGTTCTTCTTTTCACTAGACTAGACGTCCCTAATGAAAAGAAGAGGGCCTGGCAAGCATTTTCTGGCCCCTGTGCCACGAAGAGGTGCTACATGTGGTTGTCTTTCCAAAGCCAGAGGCTGTACTGATGAGCCTGTGCATTTTTGCTTAAAACTCGAAATGAGCTGTTAGACCATTCCAAGGTCAGGATGGTTCATTTGCCTGTCGCATCTCAATTCCTGCTGCAGCCATGCTAGTGGCTTGGAGAAACATCTTGGAACTTCTCCCAACTGACCCAGTCAGGGTGACAGTTCCTCCTCCCTGCTGTCACCTGCAGTAGGTAGTCAGATGGTGCATCTCTGTTCTGGGGGGGCAGGGGAGGGAGGAATCCAGCTATCCAGCAATTGTGGGCGACTGGAAGCTGCATCTACCAGCAGGACACAGCTGGCTTCCATTCCCAAGGTTCCTTCAGAACGAACTGACTGAATTCAGAAGGTCAGTGCCTGCCTCCAGGTCTGGCTTTGGGTGGGTCTTTGGTTGGGTTATTTAAACCACTAGAAAAGGAGGGCACACTGTCCTTTCTCTGGTCCAAGTGGGCCTTGTGGGCAAGGGTGGCCACCAACTGTCCCAGGAACTGCCTCTTGGTCTCTGATTGATGAACCCCAGCAGATAATCTTGTGTGAGATTGCCGCAAGGCCCAGGGGGAGCTATAATGGCCTCATCCTGTCATGTGCAAATGTGGCCTTGCTTCTTTCCTCCTGCCTCCAGTTCTCTGGGCTCCCTTCCGCTCTGCCTCCCCAATGCCAGAGCCTTCCTTATCATGCCCACCACTCGGTTTCCCTGTCCTTTCTCAGCCTTGGAAGGCAATCCCTGCAGAGAAGACCAGCACAATCAGGACTGAATCACGTCCCCAATGATTTCTCAAGGTGGCCTCTACAGAGATGAGCAATCAGGTCACCTTGGCTGCAGGCTGTGTCTAGGAGGAAGAACCTGTGGGATGTTCCCCTGTCCTGGGCGGAGAAATTGCTGGTGACCACTGTGGCAGTCAGTCCCAGGTCATGCCTCTCCCAGGAGGAAACCACCATGATATCATGTCCGGGCGAAGGGCACTCCAGGAGCTTTCTGTCCCCTGGCTGGAAATGTGCTGCTCCTTGGGACAGAAAGAGGGGTCCCTGGTGGTTTCAAAGCTTGGTTGTTTTTTTGCAGACCGTTCATTACCCAACTAGATAACATCATCAGTACTATTGCAGAAAGGCTTAATCAGTTTCCTCTTTCTCCCACCCCACACCTCTTCATGCCTCATCTCCTCCGCCAACACAACTTGGGTGCAGAGCTCGGCCCTTCAACCCCTGGGGTGGCTGGAAATTAGGAAAACAAAACAGCCCCAAACACCAACAAACACAAGGACGACAAAACTGACATTGCAATCTGAAATACTATGTGCCGGAAGCGTTCATGCACGTCAGCCCTCAACTGGTGCTGCCAGCCAATCTTTCCTGAAAGACCTTGAGATGTCCCATGGGCCGGGTGCTGCCCTGCCTTGCCCACCAGCGCCTGTTCTGTGGGTGCCTCTCTTTGGTTTACAGGAGAGACCTGCATAAGGGGGGGCAGCAATGGAGGGGTCAGCGAGTGCCAAGGGCTGCCTTTCTTGAAGTAGAGATTTGGGGGGAAATGTGGCAGGATGGAAGCTCCATGGAACTTGGGCTCTTCTGCCCAGGCAGGGCTTCCTGCTTTGCAGCAGGGCAGAACTGCAGCTGAGCAGGAGCAACAGGGATGAATCAGTGAGGAAGGGGAGCCCCTTTCCTCCCTGGGGGAGCCCCGAGGCTGCTTCCCTTGAGCCTTTGCCACAAGTGGTTGCTGGCAGCTGGGGAGCGGCCAGGCCCACCAGACCCTCCTCACCCTGTCTCAGCACTTGGCAAGAGGGAGCTGGCCTTGGGAGAGGAAGCTGCTCTTTCTGGCTTGGGCACAACCTTCCTTGGTGAAGTTGGGCATAATTGCCTCCTTCAGGAGGGGCAGCCTTTGCTTGTTGTGCCTCTCTCAGGACACCGCCCCACACTGTGACAAATGCCCTCAAATGGGATATTCTCACAACACAAACTTTGTTGCCATCAAACTTTGGCTCATTTCTGTTTTGGACAGCTTAGCAGCCTTCTCAACTGTGTGATGGCCTGGTGCACTGAACAGAAAATGATCAACTCGGAGACCAAATGACCAGGAAGAATGTGACTATAGGATCTCCCTCCTTGCCAACTTGATCCAGAGGGCATTGAGCTGGATTCTAAATCCATTGGCAGCCTCGAGCAGGATTTATGTGGAAACCTGAGCCTTGAGGGGGATATCGGTAGATGGATCTTTCAGAGCTGATGGCTTTTTCTGAGAAATCTGTGGGAGGGGGAAGGGCATCTGCAGGGGCCATGGGAGCTGGGTGACGGCGCAATGGTGGATCTTCCAAAGGCCACGGCCTCTGAGCTTCCATCAGATGTCCTGATGTAAATGCATCATTGTGCTTTCTGTGGAATTACAACATTGTGCAAGTGCTGGCCTTCTGAGTCTTTGTGGCTTTCCAAGGGGGCTGATGTGTGTCTGTGTGGGAGAAGTGACTCCTCATGTGAGATTCAGCCCTTTTGTCAGGGAGGGAAACACTGAGCACTCTTGAAGCACCTGCCTTCAATGCGGGAGGAGGAGGCAGAAACGTGGGGGCGCACATTGGGGGCTCCTGGAGGCCACTAAAACAGTTGATCAGGGAACTGTTGAGGCTGGTGGGCAACCTCCCCACTTGCCTGGCCCCTCCCCTCCCCGCCCAGACATTGCTGCTTGTCTCCACAGCCACAAAGGTGACCCAAAGCCACACACCCCACACGCTGGTCTGCAAAAAAGAAAAAAGCGCCCTTTTGGGGTGAGGTGCACATTTGCCTGGGACCCCCCCCCCATTGAGAAGGCTGAATCTCTCAACAGCTCTGGCATTGGGGAGGGCCCTGCTGGATTTGGGAGGGGGTGATAAAATCCTTCCCCCCACCCCACTCCAATTCCCCAAAGAAGGATCAGAGAGCCCCACACACACTGCTCCATCAAAGACAAGTTTATTGGCCTTCAGCCTCGGCTCTCCTCCTCTGCAGTGGCCGCTGTTGAGGCACTCAAGGCTGTGCAGGAACCGGCCTCCTCCATCCCTCCGGCTTGCGCTCTGCATCTTCCTGACAGTCGCAGGGCTTGGGGGCTGCTGCTGCTGCAGGAGGTGCATTCCAGGGAGTGGTAGGGCATTGTCCTTCTGAATGCAGCTGGCCTGTGCAGGGTTTCCAGGACCAGGCAAAATGTAGCCAGTCAGGCAGAGGACTTAAGGTCAGCAACTGCCCTCCTTTCAGGAACTGGCCTCCCCCTCAGCCAATGAGCCAGCCTTAGATGCTTACACCTTGGCTGCTCCCCAGAGAGGCCTGGAGCTCTCCTGGACCACTCACTGGCCTCCAGGATGGGGCAATTTGGCCACCAGTGGGGCTTCCCAACTGAGAGAGAAGGCAGCTCCTGTCCAGAGTTCAAGGGCATGGACTGGGTGCCATTTTGCCTGACTGTCCTGTCCGCCATCCTCACGTGTGGTAACAGCAGGCACCCCACAAGGGCAGAGGTGAAGGGAAAGCACACACCCGATCGAGTCTCTTGCACAGGGAATTGCTGTGTTGCTGGTGTGTGGCTTCAGGCCTCCAGCAGCAACCCAAATCCTGGGGCTTTCCGTGGAGACCGCTAGCCTCACTGGGCCCTGACTTCCAGGGTGTCTGCCAACTGCTCCGAAAAGGGGCTGATGTGTCGCAGAGTGTTATAGTTGGGTGGGGGCGTTTGGGGTGGGGGCAGCCGCATGGCCGTGTTGAAGGTGGGGGGGTCATCGTCATCCTGGGTGCAGGCAGCGTTGTGGTAGCCTTGCTCTGGGCTGGTTGGGGGTGCGCCATCATCCTCTTCTCGGTCCTGTGTGCTTGACTGCCCTCTCCACCACCGCTTGGCCTTCTGCCACTGCTGGCGCAGGACAATGCAGAGCGTGTCCAGGAAGAAGACCTCCACAATCTCAATGACACAGACCACCGAGCAGCTCATCCACAGCCCCAGTTGGCCCCCAAAGTTGGATAGGAGCAGGACAATCTGGGGGAGGGATGCGAGTGTCACTCCGGGGGGTCACCAGAGGGGTGGACAGACTTGCCCCTAACTCCCGAACCAGATCCAGGCCCTTAGTCCTGCTGCCACCACTGGGAGACGCCTGTTGCTCGGAGGGCAGATAGATTGGATGCCCTCCCCTGCCTCTCGGGGGGGGGGATTGGGTCCCACAAAGCGGAGCAGCCTGGAACTTGTCGAAGGGAAAACTTACATTGTTGGCTGGATTTTCGGTGATGAACCTCTCATTCAGATCTTTGTAGAACACCACGAGATTTGCCAGGTCTGTCCTGGAAGGGAGGGAGGGAGGGGTTAGGGTTAGGAGGGGAGCAGCCAACGAGGGGCCCCCCTGGGTCAAGAACGGCCTGAGGGCCGAAAGGTTCTGACAGTTAAAAAGGCAGGAGGAAACTTACTTGTTTAACATCTTGTGGCCGTTCAGGCCTTTGTCCCAAGAGAGAACTTGAAGGATCCATCCCTTCCAAGGACGAGAGGGAAGGAAGGTGAGTGGAAGGTGTTTGTATGCTTCTCCCCCCCCCCCCCGCAGACCTTGCTGCTCTCAAGACCTCCTTAACCCTCCCAGCCAGTGCATGTGCCCCCTCCCCAGTTGGCCTCCTCAGAATGGTCACTTCCAGCCTGGGGTGGGCAGTGGAGCTGTCCGTCCAGGCAGGCCCCACCGCCATTGCCACTGGTTGCTTCCCCTCTTCAGGAAGCGGGAGGCTGACTAGGTGATGCCCTCTGGGCTCCTGGCCCAACCTCCTCTTCACCGCACCCACCAGACCCCGGTTAGAAGCCTCTTGAGAGGCCACTGAGTGTGGAAGGGCATCCCTGGCAGGCCTCCTTCGGCCGAGCAGGAACTTGCCTCAGACACGCTGGACGGCCACTGGGCCAGGCTGGTGGTGAGGGCCCACTCCTTCAATCTGCAGAGAGAGGCAGCGGCTGAAGAGCTGGGAGCAAGGGGGCTCCAAATGCAGGCAGTGCCTTCCAGCTCCCTCCCCACTTTTTACACACAAACACTCCATGCGGAACGCATCCATCGGGTCCAGTGCTTAAAAGCACCGGGGTTTAAAGCGCCCAGAGCAATGCTAGAAGTGACTCCTATTATTCCCAACCTGACACGATGGGGAATTTCTAGTGCTGGAACAGGTCCTGCGCGGACATAAACCTGGGTCTCCGCTGGACCGGAATGATCCAATTGAAAACCAGAGGGGAAGGTTGGCAGCTCATTGACCCTTTGGGCTTGGAAGCCTCGGGCAGGGCAAGATTATGGGTGATCTCCGCTAGGCTGCAGATGAACCCCCAAAGAGCTGTTTGCCTGAGCAGGGGCCGCACCGCACAGCTTTTCACAAAGTCTTTCCTGCAGGAGAAGAGGGGAAGCGCTGAGTTTTCTCCAGGAGAGGCAGATGTGACGGAATGGAAGCCGCTGCTTTTCAGAGGCTGGCTTTGTGCATGGGGGGTCCTAAGGTCCTGGGGACTTCCAGCGAGGACTTACTTGCAAGCTTCTCTGCAGATTTGCTGGCAGCCCAGCTGCTCTTTCACAAACCGTTCGTGCAGCTTATAGTAGCAGTACACTGCAGGGGAACAGGAAGGAGCGTGATGGAGGATGGAGAGAGGGAGGGAGCCAAAACTTCACCAGGGCCCCGGAGGAGAAAGCGCCTTGGGGGGGAGCCTGAGAAAGGGCAGAAAGAGATTCACCTCCAATAGGGCAGGGGTCTCTCAGAGCCTTCTTTTCAAAGGAGAAGCAGAGGTGGGCAGGCTAGAGGCAGCCCCAGGAAGCAGGAAGAGTTTGTCTTGGCTGCCACTTTCAAGAGACTCTAAAGTCGCCTTTCTCAACCTCAGTCACTTTAAGATAGTGGACTTCAGCTGGAGAATTCCGCAAGTCCATGCACCTTAAAGTGGCCGAGGTTGAGAACACTGCTCTAAAGCCAGATCCCAACAGCCTGAGATCCATTCCTGTGAAGGATCCTCTAACCTCCTGGGAAGACTTACTCCAATTGGGGTATTTTTTATAGTTGCAGAATTCGGCTCCATCAGGCAAGGGCTGAGCGTACTGAGCACATCCGCAGGTTTCCACCATCGAAGTCTGGAAACAGGAATGCAGGCAGATCTGCACCGGGTGAAATTAAATGCTGGTGAAATCTGGTGAGACACACACCATGGTCTTTTCCCTCAGAATCCCTAGCAGCCATGGGAGGGGGGAGGGAGGGAGGGGGAGGGCCCCCAGGGCTCAAGGCACAGCCTGCTTTGCTGCTTGGAGGGTCAATGGGTCTTGCAGCCCTTGGGCTGGGCTGATGCCCAAAGAAGGCAGCCCCAATTTGCTGAAAACAGCTGGGAAGGGATGGCCCAGGGGACTTGCCAAATGGGGCCAGCCCTAATGGGTCCCACCTCAAGGGCACGACCAGAGGGGGCCAACATGGATTCACCTGCAATGAGTAGCTTTTATTGTAGAGGTTCTTCACAGGAACATCAGCTCCGTCCTCCGTGCAGTTGCTGTATGGGCGGCTGAGACGGTGGGATGTGGTCTGCAGCATGACAAAAAAGAGCTCTGTTGGGGATACGCCTGTTGGGGAACCCAGGGGAGGGGGCTTGGGACACCAGGGGAACACCCTTCCACCAACTGCTCCGCTGCTCCAAGAGGGCTTCTTTCTGACCTGCCCAGGAGACACAGCTTTGAGCAGGGCAAAGAAGGTGCGAAAGCTCCATTTCCCACAGAGCCTCTCAGCTGGGGGAGCCTGTCCAGCTTCCTGGGCCAGAGACCCCGAGTTGCTGGCACTCACAAAGTGCATCCCGATGGAGGTGGCCGTGGCTGTCTCGATCTCAATGCCGATATCCTCAATGAAGGGGTACTCGTCCTGATCGTGGATGACAATCTTGGCTCCCGTGGAGGTCACCAGGAAGGGGTTGTAGTCGGCTTCTTCTATGTACAGGATCACCTGCAGCCCTGGGCAGAGAAGTGGGAGCAACCTGAGGCCCTGCAGGTAGAATGAGCAGGACCAAAGGGGGCAGGTTGGGAACACCTTGGCCTGCTTTTCCCACAGCATGTCCAGCTGCTTACAAACAAAGTTATCCCTACCAATCTACAAGACATCCAATCGAATTAAAGTTTTGATTGCAGCCAGCTGCTGCCATCTACTGATCATCCACATTTTTTCAGACCAGATCTATTAGCCTGAGATGAGACACGTCAGCCATTTAATCCCAAGGAGGAAGCTTCAGTCCAGAACGGAGTTCCTGTGGGGCACAAGGCTTCCTACTGCTAGGGCAGAGTCGGAGCAGAGGCTTCGAGTCCAATTCCTCTCCCTGGATGGGCCCATTCAACCTGGACAAGGTTGAATCTGGAATAACACCTGGAAGCTACCTGACAGTCAATCCAGCTTCCTTAGCAGCAACATTACATGGCACCTTGTCCTGGCTGAAGGTTCGGAATAGTCAGTCTATGTAGAAGGGATTACAGCAGTCCAAATAGGAGGTGATGAGGGCGCGAATGACAAGAAGCACACAAGATGAATTTTTGCAAAGGCCCTCAGCCTTCGACTGCTCTTCAGGCAGGATCCATGAGCCCAGAAGGATCCTCGGGTTGCAAGCCAGATCTATTCTGGATGGAATGCAACTCCCTCCAGAGCAGTGGTTCTCAACCTTTTTAACGCTGCGACCCCCAACCGGTTGTAAGTCGAGGACTTTCCCTGCCTAGGAGCGCCACACATGCGTGGTGCCGCCCCCTGCGCCGGCTGTTGCTGTTCACTTTAATTTGCAGATCTATATGGGAGGAATATACTAAATCAACTCTGAAAGCCTAAGCAGTCATTTCAAGGTTTTGTACTTCCAGTCCCCACTCATGATCAGGCCAGTGAACCCCTTTACATCCTTTGTAGGAGACCCTGGACTCTAAAGTAAAATGGAAGAGAGGAGGAGGAGGAGGAGGTTGGAAGACTTAAGACTGAAAACCTGAGTGTCAGCTCCTGAAGAAAAGAACCAGCAACGATGGAAGTAGCAGAAAGAGTTGCTGGTACAAAAGTCTCATCAGAACTGCTGACTGCTGGGCACCCCGGGCATCTGAGGCTGGAGATGTGCCTGGAAGTTTTATAAACTAAATGGAGCAGCTCCACAGAGCCTTGGGTGGCACAGAGGTGGAACCGGGATGCAGCTTAGAATGAAAGATGCCAGATGACGACAAATAGGTCAGGCGGCGGCAGCAGAGCAGGATATGGGCGTTAAGGACCAGAAAGCCCAAGAAGCTCAAGGGCCACCCCAAGACAGCAACTGGGGCGATCCTGGACCACAATTCTCTGTTTCTCAGTATCCTCTTTCAGGAGGGTGGTTGTTAAAGGGGCTTACATGAACCACAATACCAAATGAGTAGCGAGTAGGTACTTGAGTAGGCATCAAGAATCAGGGATGCCAGTAAGGTTAATTAGCTGCGGCCACGATAAGCGTGAGGAGAGAGACACGATTAGCAGGGCTAAGAACCAGGCCGCCAAGATGGCCACCACCCAGAGGTGGGGACCAGGCAAACGAAGGCCCTCAGGAGGCCTTGGATGGAGGCGGCCTTGGCCAGCTGGACAACCCATTCAAGGAGATGACAGCCTGACGTGGAAAGGATAATCACAGTCCTGATGTGCAAAAGATCTCAGGCCTCTGGAGCAGGAGAGAGATTGGTCCTTTGTTAAGATGGCTGGTGTCCAGCAATAAAGAAGCCACGGTTGCTCCAAAGATTAAACTTAGCTGTGGTCTCGGAGAAACAAGTTGGGGAGGGGGGGGTCATCTGCTGATGGCTCCCTCAGGGACCCAAGTGGTCCTATTGCCAGGTGGTCCCCCAACCTCCTGATCATCACTCCTTCCAGGGAAAATCCTCCCTCCGCTGCTGGCTCTGAGCACGTTCAGCTCTCCGCTGCCCGTGGGTGCCCGGTGGGGGGCTGGGGACTTCTGCCTGGGGTGGGAGCCTGGGAAGCAGGAACCTAAACGTTTCCCGACCCGTCTTGGACAGAGAGGCCGCCATTACAGGGCAGGAGAGGCCACATCGCAAAAGCAGACCCTCAAGTGCTCCTGAAAAGGCTGGGTGAAAAGAAAAGGTGGGCAGAGCCCTGGAGTTCACAGAGGGCCACTCCAAGCCAACACGCGGAGGGGCCACGAGAAGGACAGAAACAAACAGGATACAAGCTACACCGAAATGAAACCACAGAGAAGCCAGTCAGAGAAGTTGCCAGCAAAGAGCCCAGCTTGCTCTCTTCTCCTCTGCTCCTGCGTCAACCTGCGGCTCTTACCGTTCTCGCTGCCCCCTGTGGACGTGGTCAGGATCTTCCCCTCTTGCCCACTGTTGAAGGTGTAGCAATTTCCATGGAGAGGATGGTGGAAGGAGGTGAAGTTCCTGAGACAGGCCATATAGGAAACATTTTACTAAGACTGTTACGCACACGTTTCCCCAAACTAAGAACTTGTGTAAGAAACATTGTGTTTCTACTGTCTGGCGGACCAGAACAGGAATCTGGCTTTGTGACGGTGCTGCTCTCCCTCTCCCTCGTTTCCCAAATGGAGAGCTGAGCCTGAAAGGCAGAGAGCTTAACTGGGCCAGTTACAAACACGTGCCAGGCTTGGCCGGAGTTTTTCTGCCAATTAGTTGGTGGGATGAATCTGGTGGCTACCCAGTGCAGATCCTGAAACCGAGTTCAGCCTGCAAGCTAAGCTGGCAGTGCGAATGTAGCCCTTCCCTCTGAGCTGGCCAGTGACTGGCATGCCCTCCCCCCCTCTCTCTTGGGTGAAGCTCCCCAGATGCCCACTCTTGCCTCCCTTGACCCAGAACTGACCTGGCGTCACAGGAATCCCCGTCAAAGAAGCAGCTCAGCAGCAGCTCCTCTGCTGAGTAGCTCATCCTCTCCTTCTCCTCCGCATCGATCTGAGCCATGATGTTCATGTAGTGCAGCTTGTACCACTCCTGGATGGCGTTGGCACCCGAGCTGAACGTGTACAGGGTACAGTCGCTCTTGTTGCTGGTGTCACACTGCAAGAAACGCAACAGGCTGGGGAAGGACTGGAGAAGGAATCCAGGCCGGATCGCCACACTTTGGAAAACTTTTCAAAGCTGAGCTGTGTGCACATTGGAGGTACTCTCGCTCTTGCTCTCGGCACTCTGCGGGGGGGGGGGTATGGCTCATGTCAGAGCCAAGGGGTGGGCCTCCTCCTCGCCACAAGCCCTGCCGCTAATTCTGACCCCAGAAAGGCACCCCTGGAAAGACCCCAGCTCTCCGGGAAGGGGAACTCACCAGCTGGAAGCCCACAACGTCTTGGGGGCTTCTGACGTTGACTATGCTGGAGCTGCCCGAGATGATGCCAGCGCTGATCCGCCGCTTGTACCCAGCGGAGACATTGACGGTGGGCTTGGCGTGGAGGCTATCCAGTTTCATCAGGGGAAACCGCATGAGAAACTTGCTCTTCTCGGGGTGCTGCCTGCCCACCTCCCGGCGTTCCCGTGGCTTGCTTCCTGCCCCTGAGAAATTATACAAGGACTCCAGGGCTGCCATGGTCTCCTTGTCCAGTTCGGCAAGGTGTTCTTTTATGGCACTGTACCTGCGCAGGAGAAGGAGGGGAGGAAAGGTTGGTGGCGGGCAGAAGCCCCCCCCCACTGTCTTCCTCTCTCTGCAGTATCGGTCCCTTGCTGCAGATTCCCACCAGCCCTCAGCACCTACTTGTAAGGATTGATGTTGCAGATGGTCACAGCTGGGAAGCGCAGCTTCTGGAACTGCACTGTGACGGAGACGGAGGCCGTGTAGTAGTTGAGGATCAGCTGGGCACAATACCACAGAATCAACCCCACGGCTGTCAAGGTCAGGATGATCCAGAGGACCCGGCGTAGACGTCCCCGAGAGACCACGATGCGCCGGCAGCCGTGGGTGTTGGTGTTCATGCAGTACCAGTGCATCAGCTCTTTCAGGGTGGGGGCCTGAGGGCCCGTGACGGGCAGCGTCTTCTTGATCTTGGCCTTGATCTTCTCCGCGGGAGCCATGCTGCCCAGTGGTCGCTGTCCTGAGGGGGGCAAAGGAAGGGGAAACTATCTGGAGGAGAGTCTCCCCTCTAATGCCTTCAAACAACCTGGGGGGCCGGCTCTAAGCCCTCCAGGGCCCCTCCTGGGCTTCAGCAGAGCGAGGGGTCCAGGGGGCAGGGAAACCTCTCCTCCTCCTGCTGCTTGGAGGCTCACGGACCGGGGCTCGGCCCTGCCTCGCCCAAAGGAGAGCTCTGGCTTTGGGGGGAAAGGAAGGGCAGGGAGAGATCGGGGTTTGGGGCGCCTCCCTGGGAACCAAGGGCGGCTCCGGCCCTCCTCCTGCAAGAGCCGGCGGCTCTCAGCGCAGCCCCCACGCCCCTTTCGCCAAGGGAGCAGCCAGCTACGCGAGCCGGGCGCCGAGCCAGGTCGAGGGGGGTCCGGAGGGCTCCTCCGGCGAGCGGCCGCGCTCCCGCCCGGAAGAGGCTGCTCTCCCGCCGGCCAGGCTGCGCCGCTGAACGCGACCCGACGCTGACGGCTTCTTCCGACGGGGCAGCCGGGCTTCGCGGACCGGCGGCGGCGGCCACGGAGGAGTCGCGGCAGCCCCAGCTCAGCCCGGGCGGGCGGCAGCGGCGGGGCTCTCGGCTGGCCGTCGAGGAAAGGGCCCAAGGCGGACGGGCGCGACACCTGCGCCTCGGCGGCCCCAGTGGGGGCTCCGCCGGCCCCGCGTCTCACCTGCCAGGCGCCGCGCCCGAATAGCCGCAGCTCTCCGCGCTGTGCCCGCCCGCCCGCGCGCTCTCTCGACTCGGGCGGCGCCCCCGCCCCGCCGGCTGCCTGGCTGTCCAGCCGGCCAAACTGCCTCCCGGGCACCGGCGGTACTGAGGCGCCTCCTGGCGGCGGCGGGTGGCGCGGCAGCCGGTCCCACTCCTTCTGCGTTAGCCCGGCTGCGCCCGACGAGGCTTTGGGGCGCGAGGGGAGGGCGCCTGGGAGCGGAGTTCTGAGCCAAGTTTGGCCCGAGCTTGTGGTTGGCGCAGGGACGCCCAAGTGGCCGAGTCCGGGAGACGAAGGGACGGCAGGACAGGACGGAAGCGTGGGCTGAGAGGCCAAGATGACCTCCAGTAGGGAGGTCAGGAGTTGGGAGCTTGGAAGCCCCGGGGACCTCGGCAAGAAGCCCAGCTAAGTGGAAGGAGCCCCTGGAAGCCGCCAGGAGGACTGGCTGGGGATGGACGGAAGGGAGTGGGATTTTCCGTCGGGACGCTGTCCAGGTGCACAAGGGGAAGCTGGCCAAGAATCCCTTTCCAGGCTATAATCATGGACATAAATTGCAGCGACCTAGCTTCCGTCTAAACCAGTGTTTCCCAAACTTGACAATTTTAAGGCATGTGGACTTCAACTCCCAGAATTCCACAGCCAGCATTGCTGGCTGTGGAATTCTGGGAGTTGAAGTCCACATGCCTTAAAATTGTCAAGTTTGGGAAACACTGGTCTAAACATACAATTTTTGATGGTGAGTTCTGTATGACAATGGAATGGTCTACCTCTGGAGGTGATGGGTTCTCCATCCCCAGAAGATTTTAAGATGCTGAGCAATCCCCTCTCCTGGGTGGCTTTCCTGCCCATGACAGAGAGCTGGACTAAAAGATGCATGGGGTCCCTTCCGACTCCACAATTCTGGGATTCTGCAAACCCCTGATGATCTTTCAACACTCCTCTTAAACAGACAAAGGTTTCATGTGATACAGTATGTGGACTTAATTGCCACCCTTCACTCTGCAGGTGATCCAGGACTGAATCAGTTTCTCCTGCTATCAAAAGGACCCCACTTTTATGCAAACCCAGCCTCTGGTCCTGGTCCAGTTTGACCCAGCCTCCCCAGTTTATTCAGAGACTCCTAACTGCAGAGAGTGCCGCTTAGAAGGAAGAGCTCTGGGCTTCTTCCAGCCATCCCCTGCCGGGTTGGAGGTTGAAATGTGTATTTTGTAGAGGAAAGGAAGGGTGTTTCTCCAGTATTGCTCTAGGCCAGGGGTAGGCAACCTCGGCTCTTTTATGACTCATGGACTTCAACTCCCAGAATTCCTGAGTCAGCTATACCCCTGCTCTAGGTGAAGCTCAGCCTTCTTCTCCACAATGATGTCCTGGCAGCAGACTATGTGGTCAAGGGGTCTGACTACTCAACCCATTACAGCACAACCAACACAGTCTATGAAAAGGGTAACACTGCCACACATCAAAAATATCTCAACCAACCCAGCACGACATCACGCAGCATCACTGTAGCACACAAGCCAACCAAAGCCTTCAAAACATCTTAAATAAACCAAATGACACAATAGCTCATAATAAAGAAAAAGTAGTCATCTACAACACACAGTGTAAGGACCGTAACAGCCAGTATTAGCAGAAAAGTAGCAGAGCACATCCATGAACAGCAACTAGTAGTCAGAACACTTAATTTCACAACAATGGACAGACTAAACTCTAATAAACAGGGAAACCGTGAGCATCCTAGATCAAGATAAGTCTAAAATGTTAGGGAATTCCTGGAAGCTTCACACTTGGATAAATCAGCCATTAAAAGGCACCCCGATATGAACAATATTTACACACCATTCAAGAGGCAATAAACAACTTGAAAAAGGAAATAAAAAGACCAGAACACATTCTTTCCAGCAGCCAACATCCAGATAAGCAGGGATTAACACCAGAGAAGCAATGGAACAATAAACAACAGTCTAATCAAGGAATTACCAAGGAGAAAGCCACACCCCCACCAATACTGGCAGGGAAAGCTAAACAGAGAACAAACCCCACTCCCTTCTAGCACTGAAGATGTTACCTAATCAGGTAATGAAATGTCTTCAAGAAAACATCCAAACTCAGGAAGCACAAGGAAGCCTTCCTTAGAGGGGGCACTGTTCAAAAAGTTAAATCAGGTCTGAAATACCATAGGGGTGTTTCTCATATCCCAGCAAAAAAGTCTTGTTTGCATTGGCATATACAAACAAACAAATATAAATGTTGTTGTTGTTAATTGCGAAATCGTGTCCGACCCATCGCGACCCCATGGACAACGTTCCTCCAGGTCTTTCTGTCCTCTACCATTTTCTGGAGTCCAAATATAAATAGAGGAAATTATATATGGCTGCCTAACTCACTCTCAGTGATTTTGGGCAGCTTACAAAGATAAAAATCTCATATAAAAGCAATAAAAAGTGATCAACAATCAGTCAAAGAAGCCACTGGATGGGCTCCATCCTACCCTGGGTACCCAGACCCATTGGCAAAACCAGGTCTTCAAGGCCTATCATTTCATTAAGAAGTATTACACCTCTTAATACAGAGTGAATTATACTGTATCTTGACATTCAAACGTTCTTGTTAGACACTAGTAGTGTAATATGTTGTATGCTACTTGTGTTATGCCCAAGTGATGAAAGGTGGATGTTCTGTCCCAAGTGCCTATGCCACTTGTGTACTTTCAGGTGATCTTCCCTTGCTTAACATTGATTAACCCATTTTTAACAATGGTGTCCTTCTTCCCTACATCCACTGACACCCTAAAATCCTTGGGTGCCTAGCCAAGGCAGAGTGCCACCTGATCCATGGGGCCTGAGAGCTTCCTGCAGGGATCAGCCATCCCAGCAGATGGAGTTGTTGGGAATCAGCAGCCTGTGTGTTGGCAGAGGCACGAGAACGAGACTTCTTCTCTCCGGGGCTTCTTTTTGTGCCAGAAGCACCTCACAGCTTGTTCTTGGCAGGAAACAACCAGCTTGCTGGGGGCTATAATGAAACTTTGAATGGCAAAGTTAAGCTACTGATTCAGTGCGACACAAGTAAAGAAAAATAGACAATTCTCTAAAGATAAGAGAAAGTAATAGGAAAAGAAAAGAGTTCTTTACAAATATCATTTATTCTTATTTTATTTACTAAAAATTTGGACCATCATGGTGTAATCAGAATGCTTCAAGGAAGACAGCTGTCAACTCTACAAACGAACCTGACTGCAGCCATCTTGCTCGTTCTAGGTTGCCACAAAGATGGGAGAGGGTGAGAAAGATTTCTGCTAGTCTAAACAATTCAATGTCCTATGTAAAGAAAGGTCATTTTTGCCTGTTAGAATGGGAGGGGGAGCAGTTGGGTAGAAAGCCCACCAAACTGTTCTATTGGAGAACGTAGCTGATTGCATAGCACTGGAGTGGGAAGTTTAACTTTGTAATAGTGTAACTCTTCCGAGGGAATTTCAGACTTGGTTTCACTTTTGATGGTGCTGATGCTATGTAACCAATAAACATGTTCTTTGAGGAAACCTCCAGCCTCTGAGTTCTGATTTATTTGGTCTCATCTATCGGAACCTTGACAACAGCTTATACTCCTGATGTAAAAATTGACTGGGAAAAATTTTAACAGCTGCAAAATAAAGATGTATGTATGTATGTATGTATGATGCCTATAGACTGCCCATCTCCTTCAAGGAAGGGTTCTGGGCAGCGATGGTCATGTTAAAGATTTTGAAAAGGAGGAAAAGTTAATAAAGGGCTAGATATGGCTCATACTGTGAGGAAGAGGGCACCTCAGGGCATGAGATGGGTAGCTCCAGACACACATCCTGGCCACAGTAGCCACAGGTCCACAGTAGCCAGAGAAGAAGGTGCCAGGCATGGAGGAAGGAAGACCACAGGGAGAAACCCAGAGGTGGCTTGAGAATGCAAATGGCGGAACGATTCAAGCAGAAGAGGAAAAAGAGCAATATGAGGGGAAGGGCAGGTGTGACTCATAAATCCAGAAAATGAGAGAGCAACACTGGAGACTGGAGGAGTTCAAGATGGAAGGTGCATGAAACCGCATCTCCATCTAATGGAGGGAGACACCGTGGACATTGTCTGAGGACTGATCCGATTGCTGAGACAGATTCAAAGAGGTTGTTTTCAAATGGGATATGATTTCTTCAAGGAAACATTTAAAACACAGCTTAAATAAAATCAATCTTTGATACCCGTTTACTTCAGCCTCCGTGGAAATGGGCAAAACACAAAGAATTGAACTGGATCCATTTTAGAATCATAAAAACATACAGTTGGTAGCCATGGAAGTCAATACGCTTCATCTGAGGGTAGGAATAAAAAAAAACCCTTCTCTGAATTTGAAATGCGTTAACAGTATGCGACATCTGCATTTAAAAGAGGGATAAAAAAGGATTTCTCTCTGGGAAAAATCAGAGAAATTACAACAGGTAGAAAGTCTGAGGCAGTAGAGACCCCTAACCCTAACCCTAACCCCAAGAGAACTTCACTGGAAAAATTATACATTAAACTGATGAACACCTAAAAGAAAAATTAGCAGTGAAAGAATTAATCATATTTAATAAACATAGAAAAATATATAATTTGTATAAATTAAATAATGTATTATATAGCACTGGACATTGAAGCAAAAGCAATATAAGGCAGAAATTTGTCCAGATAAGTGCAAAGAAGAGCAACTAAGACGATTAAAGGCCTGGAGACTAAAGCATAGGTAGAACGGCTGCAGGATTTGGGAATGGCCAGTCTAGAAAAAAGAAGGACTAGGGGGGACATGATAGCAGGGCTCCAGTACTTGAGAGGGTGCCACAAGGAGGAGGGGGTCAATTTACTTTCCAAAGCACCAGAAGGCAAAACAAGAAACAACGGATGGAAGCCTATCAAGGAGAGAAGCAACCTGGAATTAAGGAGAAACTTCCTAACAGCGAGGACAATTAACCAGGGGAACTGCTTGCCTTCAGACGTTGTGGGTGCTTCATCACTCAAGGTTTTTAAGAAGAGACTGGACAATCACTTGTCTGAAATGGTATAGGGACTCCTGCTTGAGCAGGGGGCTGGACTAGAAGACCTCCAAGGTCCCCTCCAGCTCTATTCTGATTATTATTAATTTCTTAATGTTAGGGGTGTTTGCAAGTTATGGTAAAAAGAGGCCTCTAGCAGCACAGCTGAAGTTTTGTCTGTTTTCATGTGTGACACACACCTTGCAGATGCCTCTGTAAGATATGAAGAGTCATTGCCAAAGATGCCAAGATCTGCCAAGTGAACAAAATGAAAAAGCACTACAGGTAATCCTTGACTGAACAACAGTTCATTGGGTGACCGTTCAAATTTACAACGACATGACCATTTTTCACACTTATAACCACTGCAGTATCCCCCCATGGTCACGTGATCAAAATTTGGATGCTTGGCAACTGATTCATACTTATGGCGGTTGCAGTGTCCTGGGCTCATCTGATCATCTTTTGACAAGCAAAGTCAATAGGGAACCCAGATTCACTTAACAACTGCAATGCTTCACTTAACAAAGAAAGGTCATAAAAAGGGACAAAGCCTATTCAGCAAATGTCTCACTTAGCAACAGAAATTTTGGGCTCAATTGTAGTGATAACTCGAGGACTACCTGTACCATTAAAACAACCTTCCCAAATCAGCAGACCGGATTGAACCTTTTTGAAAAGTAACCAGAAAAAGAAGAAAATGTATTTTATTCTAGCAGTGATTGATTGCACAACTGGAGATATACAACTGATGGCATTTTCTCCTCTGGAATCTGAAGAAGCACCATATTTTTTGCCTTTGTGTTTTCCTCATAACCCAGATGGAAGAAGGTATGTGATGTTTAGGGAAACACTATGGCTTCTCCAGGTGTTTCATCCAGAAAGCTGCAGACTAGTAGGAGGTCCATGATAGAAACATGAAGTGGATGGTTGAGAACCCCAAGGGGGGCAAGGAGTGCAGCATGCCCATTTGGAGACGCATCCAGACTGTTCCCATTTCAGTCCCCTCTGTGGAAGAAAATAATGCAACCACTTTCTTCAGTAAAAGAAGAATCTCTGAGAACAAAGTATTTATAATACAGTCTGCATGAAAACGCGGAAGTAAAATTAGTTGAACAAATTCTGGACTGCCTTCAAGAATATTAAAAAACCCCCAACAACTCAGGAATGATAAAAGAGTTTTGAACTGACATTCATGTCATGGCAGTTCTTCCTTAAATGAATGAGTACCGCATTCTTTCAGGCTGCCTTTAAATCCATTAAAAAAAAAAACCTTTTCCCCTTTAGGGAAAAGTGAAATGTGTTCTTTGTTGTAAACTGAATGGTGGTTACTTTAATACTAGTATAATTTGCAGTAGGTTTTGAAGTCCTGATGGGAGGATATCAACAAAAGAAAAAGGAGGAATTAATCAGCTCCGACAGGCAAAGACATGTTTCAACAAGGGATGATTTCTGGAAGTAGTTTAGCAACAAGAGAGGGAGGGTTGATGTGTTTGGGGGCATAATTAATACTAGAAAGGATGCATTCCTCAGATCTCAGCCAGATAAGACCAATGATAAGACAATGGTTTATAAGAGAGGGAGTGAAAGATATATCAAAAGTGATAAGGCCTTCACTCCTAGTTTTGGTGAATAAGCCAGACCAAAATATTCATTTCCATGTATATTGCAGGTGGTCAATCCTGCTGTTTCATATGCTTATCTAAGGCCTTGAGTAGATGTGTTTATTAGCTACCGCAGAGGTGCAAAGGTTATTTCCATCTTTGCAAAGAGTCTTGGTAGATGGAAATCAACATAGAATTCATTAAAAAGACAATGCGAGAATAACTTTACTGATCGGAATGACAATAATCAAAACAGAGCAGATGTGGATTGCCTTTTCTTCAAAAAGATGCCAGGTTCCAGCCTGCTGTGTACAAGGAGCACCCTACATTGTGTGCGTAGGTGTGGGTATCATTTGAAAGTGGGGTACTCACCTGGTTCTTCCTTTTAAGAAATAGTATTTAATCAGAGCTGTCTTTGTTTGCAAACTGAGTGTGAGTCAGCCATGTTTGCTTTGTAGAATGAGATGGGCGGCATATACATTTAAATAAATACATGTTTGCGCAGAAGAGGCCAAAGGAATTTTAAGGTGCCTAGCAGATTAGTGTCCAGGAGGTAACAGCTGCCCTGCCATGCTGGGCATCAAAGGGATGTCTTTCAGATAAACTGGAGCAGATTCAGGAAAGGGCAAAGAAGAAAAGCAGAGACTAGAAACTCTGCTGACAAGAGATGGAGGGAATGTTTATCCTTGAGAAGTGAAGAACAAGGGCCAGCGCTCTTCAAGTAGCCGAATGACCCTCCAGACGGGTTGTCGTCCACCACGGGGGGGGGGAATCAACGAGCAGCGCTTTTTGCTCCCCCTTCTAGCAATAGGTATCTTTCCAGACATCCCAGCGGTGCCTGGTTGGTCTGCCTCGAAACCCTCGCAAGGGTTCAAACGGGCAGCCTTACTCTAGAGCAGGGGTTCTCAACCTTGGCAGCTTTAAGACTTGTGGACTTCAACTCCCAGAATTCCTCAGCCAGCAAAGCTGGCTGAGGAATTCTGGGAGTTGAAGTCCACAAGTCTTAAAGCTGCCAAGGTTGAGAAGCCCTGCTCTAGATCTCAAGTCCAGGCCGGCCGGCGGCAGACAGGACGGGTCATTCCGGAAGTGCAGAGCGCGGCTGCCTGGGGGATTCTGGGAGAGGCGGAGGCGGAGGAGCCGTGCCAGGCGGATCCGTGCCTGGGGGGGGGGATTCGGGTCGGGGGAGCCACTCGAGGAGGGTGGGCTGTGGAGCCCCCCAGCGAAGGCCGGGCTCCTTCCCGAGAGTCCAGCTACCCCGCGGCCTCCAGGCTGGCGGGGTTCTGGGCCCAAAAGCCCCTCCGCGCTCCCCCCGCCCCACCCCGGACGCGGGTCCGGATCGGGAGAGCGGGGTGGCCCCTGGGGTCCTCCCAGGACCGACGCTCGGCCACAGGGATGGGCAGCAGAGCGGCCGCGCGGGCCCTTTAAAGACTGCCCGACTCCAAGATGGCGGCTACGCCGGGCGGCGGAGCGCGGTGCCCGGCCCCGAAATGGCGCGCCCGGCTTCGTGCGTGACGTCCCGCCCCGCCCCGCCCCGCCCCTGCTGCCTCCTGAGCCCTCCGCCGCCTGACCCGCCGGCCCGGTTGCGGCGCTGCCCCCCCACCGCCCGCCGGGAGAGGCGCCATGGCGGGCCGGGTGAGCGGCGCGCCGGCCCCGGGGCTGCCCGCGTCCGGGGCGGCGGGTCCGGGGTCGCCGGCGGCGGGCAAGGAGAAGGAGAAGCGCTCGCTGGGGAAGCGGCTGTTCTTTCGCGGGCGCGGCGCGGGGGGCTCCTCGCTGGGCGGGCTGGTGAGCCGCGTGCTGCGGACGCTCTCCACGCTCTCGCACCTGGGCGGCGAGCACGGTCCCCCCGCCGCCGCCGCCGCCCCGCCGCCCCCCGAGCAGCCGCCGCCGCCGCGGGAGGAGGAGCGGCCCGAGCCGCCCCCGCCGGCGCCCCCCGGCGCGCCCTGCTGCCCCCCGGGCGGCGCGGCGCTGGTGCCCGGCGTGGCGGGGCTGCGCAACCACGGGAACACGTGCTTCATGAACGCCGTGCTGCAGTGCCTGAGCAACACGGAGCCGCTGGCCGAGTTCCTGGCGCTGGAGCACTTCCGCGGCCCCCCCGCCGCCCCGCCGCCCCCGCCCGAGCCCCGCGCCGCCGGGGAGGTGACGGAGCAGCTGGCGCAGCTGGTGCGCGCCCTCTGGACGCTCCAGTACACGCCGCAGCACAGCCGCGAGTTCAAGGTGAGCCCGGGGGTCCGCCGGCCGCCCCCGCCCCGCGACGCTCCCCCCCGCCCGCACGAAGCCCCCGTCCCTCCCGCGAGGGGAGCCGCCGCGCCTCCTCCGGCGGTGGATTTGGACCCGCCGAGCCCCGTCCGGAGCCTCCCCGGCGCTTTCCTGCTGCCTGCATTCTGGACAGCGGCTCCCGCCCTTCCCAGGCGCCGCCGGCCCGGCTGGCAGCCGCGCGTGGAAATCCGCCTCTGGTTCTGGTCCCGGCGAAGAGACGCTCCGGGGCTCCGCGTTGAACTGAGGAGCCCGGCCGCTGCCCGAGCTGGGCGCGTTGCTGGAGACGCTTCGCTGCCGGACTGGGAAACCTCATCAGTGCAGGGATTTGGGTGGGTGGGTGGGGGGCTGCTGTCGGTTTATATACGGTCTTTTGCCCTGACGGGGCTGGTGGGGCTGCTGTGCTCTGTTTGGTCCTGTATTGCCTTCATTGGATTTTTGCTGGATTGTTTGCGTTAATCCCTGCTTCTCTGGTTCTTGATAGCTGGCAAGGAGGTCTTCTGGTCTTTTTGTTTCCTTTTTAGCTTTTTTATTGTCTCTAAGTATTGTTTACCTCCATGTGCCCATTGATGGCTGAATTTGTCCGAGCCCCAATGTGTCTCTGGCTCTGGGTGTCCTTTGCACCACCTGGGCTTCTGCCTTCCTTCCCTCCACTTCCTTTTGGAGAGGGGATTTTTTTGCAGTTCTTGTGGTCCTTTGATGGATGAGTTTGCCCTCGACTGAAAGGGGCCCAAACTGGTTCTGATTCTCTGATTTTTTCTAAGGTTGCCCTTGTGAAAATATACGCCAGGTTGTAGGCCGCAGCAGGAGAAGGTAGATGTATTACTGGAAACTCCTCTGGGTGTCTTTTAATAAAATCCCAGTTTTGAGAGGGGCTGTCCGGGTCCCTGGATTCGACCCCTTGCTCCCTGGCAGGAATCCCACCCCTCTGTTTTGAATGCAGGATACAGAAGATGGGGTTTAGACTGCAGATTCTGAGAGAACTTTAGAAAAAGTTTCCTGATAGCTCTCGCCTTAGTACATTTTTGAAAGATTTCAGTCAATTTCACGTTTGCCATCTTCACTTTTTACCAGGATTTGGGGTTTTCCCCTGAGATTTCTATCCGCACTCTGAAATCTCACAAGGTTTGGCAGTCTTTTGTGTAATGAACTGACAAAAGTGGTGCCAACATATTGTGCCACAGATTCTGCCCCTTTGGAGCATAGTGCAATATCACAATACAGACAGAAAAGGATCAGGCTTCTGTTTACTTTGATGCTGTTGATATCAGTCAGGCTCCCCAGGGATTCTAGGGGTCCTGTGAGGTTTGAGGATTGAAAAACGGCCTGGCTGTGCGGATGTCTTCCTGGCCAGCAGGAGAGCTTCAGGCAGCAGCCAGTGAAAAACAAGATAAGAGCCCATTTGTACAAACAAGAGGCTGGCTTGCTTGACAGAGGGGTGCAGGCATGTCTGAACACTGTTTCTTCATTCCGCTGCTCTGGGCTTCCTTGTACACTTGTCATTTAGTGCCCAGATGTCTTGCGGGTTCTGTTGAGTGGTTCTAGTTGTGATAGTTGGGTGAAGGCTGGCTCTTCAGGAGGTCACTGAGTGAGCCAAGCTGTGCATTGAGTGAACATTATGGGCTGTGCAGATGGGAATGAACATGAATGCGGGTCAACAGACCTCCATATGTTGGTTTTACATGATACAGACCAGGTCTCTTGGGTTTCTTGTGCCAGGGACAGGACTGGGGGCAAACCTGCTGCTGGGGTCAATATTCAGGCAAGGGCCACGATGGGGAGGGGCTGCCTTCCAGTCCTTGGGGTGCCTTATACAATTGGCCTGCATTAGAGGTCTGGACAGGATGGAGAGAGTTCTGTGGGGTCAAGCAGGCCCTGACACACCCCAATGCCACTCTGAATTGGGTTTGGCCATTCATGCAGCAATGGTGAAATAGTGGCGCTGAACCCTTATGGGTCTCCCTGTGAGTAGTGGATTTTCATGGTCCCGTTGCAGCTCCTGCCTGGTCTTCAAAAATAGTCCCGAAGAGAGACTGTTGCTGCCGGATGACACCAGAGCTTCTGTTGCGTGAGGATGTAAGGATGACTACCCAGTCTACCTCCTGAAGCTGTCCGAATGGTCGGCACAGTCCTCCTTCCCTTAAGCCCACGAGCAGAGCAAGATGGGGGGGGGGGGAATGTTGTGGCAGTCAGCTGGGAATCTTTGACATTAAAAGGGGGAATTGCTAACTCTTTGGAAGGTAGGCCCAAGATCCAGAAGGACCTTGACAGACTTGAACACGGCCCTGTGCAACAAAATTCAGTTCAGTGGTAAGAAAAACAAGGTTTTACACATAGACAAGAAAAACCAAATGCACCAGTATATAATAGGTGGAGCCTAGCTCAACAATAGCAACTGTGAGAGGGATCAAGGAGTCCTAGTGGACAATCATTTAAATATGAGCCAGTGAGGTACTACAGCTGCCATAAAGGCCAACACAGTCCTGGCCTGCATCAACAGAGGGATAGCATCAAGATCATGTGAAGTGTTAGTACTGCTTTATACTGCACTGGTAAGACCACACTTGGAATAATATGTCCAGTTTTGGTCACCAAAATACCAAAAAGATGTTCAGACTCTAGAAAGAGTGCAGTGAAAAGCAACAAAGATGATTAGGAGACTGAAGACTAAACTGTATGGTGAGCGGTTGTAGGAACTGGGTATGTCTAGTTCAGGGGGAGGCAAGCTTGGCTCTTTTATGACTCGTGGACTTCAACTCCCAGAATTCCTGAGCCAGCCATGCTGAAGAGAAAGAGAGGTTTTCAAGCTGAGCCATGCTGGCTCAGGAATTCTGGGAGTTGAAGTCCACGAGTCATAAAAGAGCAAGGTTGCCTATCCCTGGGCTAGTTTAATGAAGACAAGGACTGGGGTGACACGATAGCAGCCTGCCATTATTTGAGTGGCTGACACAGAGAAGAGGAAGTCAACCTATTCTCCAAAGCACTTGAGGGCACGACAAGAGGTAACGGATGAAAGCTTATCAGAGAGAGACCCAACCTAGAATTAAGAAATTTCCTGACACTGGGAACAATTCATTAGTGGAATGGCTTTCTTTCAGAAACTGTGGAATTTCATCACTAGAGGTTTCTAAGGAGAGCCTGGATAGCCATTTGTCTGCAAAGGTATAGAGCAGGGGTCTGCAACCTTAAACATTCAAAGAGCCACTTGAACCAGTTTCCCAGAGAAAAGAAAACACTGGGAGCTGCAAAACTTGTGCGCACATGCGCGCGGGCCCAAGAAAAGGAAGCTTGATTGAAGTTTAATTAAAAAGAAATAGAGGCTGCTGTGCATGAGTTCTCTCTCTCTCTCTCTCCCTCCCTCCCTCCCTCCCTCTTTTCCCCTCTCTTTCCTCTCCCTCTTTTTCCTCTTCCTCTTTCTTTCTCTTTCCCTCTCTTTCTCTCTTCTCTCTCTCTCTCTCTCCCCCCCTCCCCTCTCTCCCTCTCTCTGATCTTCTGCTAACCTGGCAAGCTGGCTTCAAGCTGTTCTCCAACAAGCTGACACATACTGGGCTGGCTCTCTCCTCCCCTTCCTGCTTCCTACTTCCTGTTTCTTGCAGAGACGCAGCCAAGGCAAGAGCCCCGCCCAATAAGCTTGTCAGCTTTTTGGAGGTGAGGCCACTCTCTTTTTTACACAGACACACACAGACACACACACACACACACACACACACGTGCAAGTGCAAGTGCCTCTCTGTCTCTCTCTCTCTGCAAATGGCAAAGGAGTCTGGGAGCCGCAAGGGAAGGCTCAAAGAGCTGCATGCGGCTCTGGAGCCGCAGGTTGCCGACCTGTGGTATAGTTTCCTGCTTGAGCAGGAAGTTAAACTAGAAGACCTTCAAGGTCCTTTCCAACACTGTTTTTCTTTTATTCTGTTAAAAGTAGAGTCTAGTATTATGCAGCTGTTCAGCACTGCAGTATTTTGCTTGCTTCATAAAAGACTTAGGGCCATCCTTAATAGCGTAATCAGGGTGGATTTGATTTAAATCATGATTTAAATCACTAGTAAAAAGGCTTGATTTAAATCATAATTTTTAAAGAGCAGCTGTCATCTCTGTCCCGCAGCGGCTCCTCCTCTGACCCGCTGTTGACTCACCGACAGTCCCATTCCTTTTAATGGGGCGGCTGGTGATGCGGCAGTGACACCACAAGGTGAGGGACGTGGCGGGCAGCAGGTGAGTGGATGTCGGCTAAAAGGCGCTGCCAAGATGGATCTGAAATGACAGGTGCTCTTTAAATGTAAGGACTCATTCTCGCTGGTAGTTAGAATCTTTAATATTATTTACAAACAAAATGAAGGTTTCCCATTTAGAATAATAAGCTGTCATGTTAGTAAAACAACGATATCAGAACTGATCTTAGGGTAATAGGTTAATCACACATAGTTGGAGAACTACTCAAATTCTTTTATTTAATTAAAACACTTAGAGCCTGGTAGAGATGCATTTCTCTTCAATCATGCAGTTTGTAGTGTACATAGATTTGCAAAACAATGGGATAAAGGAATATTCCTGAACTTTGTTTTATGATTTATCTCATGGTTACTGTGAAATTGTGTGAATGCATTAATGCAGTGCATGTTATGTAAGCTTGCAGAGCTTGGATTCATTGAATGAGTTTCAGTGTAAATATTACAGAATATACAGCCTCATGCTACATAACTAAGCTCCATTTCATGCTGAATAAACTAAAGTATTAATGTATCTTAAATAGAAAACTATCTTTAGATAGATTTTTACTACAAAAGCATTTTATTAAAATAAATTTGATAAAAAATCCAATTTAAATAAAAAAATCCGATTTAAATAAAAAAATCTGATTTTTTTGATTTCCTTAAAAAAATCATTATTATCCACCCTGATCGTAATTGAAAATGATGATCATTAAATAAACAAATGCAGATATAAGATGTGTATATTTAGACTAC